GCTGAGAACAGCCTTTAGACCAGGAGATGCAGGGAGGCTGTTCAGCTCCTATGTGCTTTGCCAGATTTGCATAAACAGCACACAGTAATTATAACTTCATCTTGAATAAGTATTATTTCAATTGGGGCTGCTCAGCATTAACTGGAGGAATCACAAAAGAACAGTGGAGTGGGAAGGCTGTTGATGGCTTCGGCCTTTCCTTCCTCCAGCCAGCTCAGGCTCCACCAGAGCCCTTTCTGGTTGACCTCCCTGAAGCAACACTGTGCAATGCAAAACAAAGCATGCATTGCCAACATAATTACAGCCCTGAAGCAGCCATGCAAAGAAACCAAGCACCTTCCTGCCTGGGAGGACAACAGCGCTCAGCAAAGCTGCCTCAGAACATGATTTCCTACCAGCACCAGTGCGGCAGCAGGACCAGGGCAGGGATTGTCCCCCTGCACTGGGCACTGGTGAGGCTGTATCTTGAATCCTGTTTTCAGTTCTGATCCCCTCACTACAAGAGAGACATTGCATGTGTGGCAAACAGATGCGGAGCTAGTGGGAAAATCCGGTTGTTTCTGCTGCTGATGTGATGCGAGATGGACTTCATCATAAGGACCCAGGAAAGGGCACCTTGCTGGAACTAGATAATCGTTAAGGTCCCTTCTAACGCTGACTGTTCTATGCCTCACACGTTTCACCCCAACCATGAAAACAGTCATCCCAGACTGCTGTACCATCAGGGAGATGGGGATTGATGAGCTTAGGTGCAGAGGTAGAACATGGGAGCCCGCAGGGAGCTGCACTGGGGACTGGCTCACGCTGTTGTCTTGGAGCTCCACAGGCAGCAAAAGCTCCAGGACCACTGTTGGCAGCAGGATGCTGTTGTCAGGCCTGTCTTTGGCAGCCTGTGCTTTCTGGCTTGGTTTCCCTTAAGTCCCCATCCAGCTGCAGCTGAGATTCCACCTGCCTGACCACAGAACAGCTGTGCTTTCCAAGAAAAAAGGCTGCCTGGTTGGCAATGCCAAGGATAAGCTGTCATGGTAGCACCTGCCACTGAGCAAGCTGGCTTCAGGCTGAAGGTCCTTGGCGGCACAAGCAAAGAACAGGCTCCCTGCCCCAGCCAAAAGGTACTGAGGATGTGAGAAACTCGATTGTGAACCCTTATTGAGTAGAATATGTCTCCCTGACGGCGCTTTGATCCCTGAGCTGGAAGCTCCACTCTTTGAAGCAATGAGATGGAGATATTTTTCTCTGCAGACAATAGATCATGGAAGTGGTTTGCTTTGATCTCAGCCAAAATATGAATAAATACAGAGCTACTCCACCATCTCAGGTGTAGTACAGAGCTAATTGTCTAGATGCTGATGGGCAAAGGGCTGTCTTGCCAGCTGCTGCCAGGAGGCAGCAATTAATTAGAAGTGTTCCTGTGTAACTGGCATATCTTTTCTTTCAAGCCCAAAAAGACCACTATCTACTTGGTCTGCTCTTTCTCTTCCAAACATACACACTTACTCTCGTAGGCAAGGCACAGGAGATAATTAATGGGCTTTGCTCACTGTCGGTGAGCTCTCGGCTGGAGATTGTTCACTTTGGAACATCATGCCCTAAAAGATGACAAACGAGAGAGTGCAGATGACAGCTGGAAGGCTTGAACCACCCCCTTTATAGAACTGAGAGGTCGAGCGTATCCAGTTCAGGTCAGAGAAGGCTGAAAGGGCAGGAGCAGGCTACCACTGAAAGGTGAACCTTCCACTGGAGCAGCTTGCTCCAAGCCCCTGTGTCCAACCTGGCCTTGAGCACTGCCAGGGATGGGGCAGCCACAGCTTCTCTGGGCACCCTGTGCCAGCGCCTCAGCACCCTCACAGGGAAGAGCTTCTGCCTAAGAGCTCATCTCAGTCTCCCCTCGGGCAGGTTAAAGCCATTCCCCTTGGCCTGTCCCTACATCCCTTGTCCCAAGCCCCTCTCCAGCTTTCCTGCAGCCCCTTCAGGCACTGGAGCTGCTCTAAGGTCTCCCCTTCAGGAGCCTTCTCTTCTCCAGGCTGCCCCAGCCCAGCTCTCTCAGCCTGGCTCCAGAGCAGAGCTGCTCCAGCCCTTGCAGCAGTTCCGTGGCCTTCTCTGAGATCCCAGAGCCATCTCCCACTGTAGATCCCATTAGCAATTTCTAGGGCATCCCAAATCCTGCTTCCGTAGCACACATCCTTACTGGGAATCCTGCCTTTGTGACCTTTCTCCACGCTGTGTGAACCCTTGCAGGGACGGTGACTGCAGCCCTGCCCTGGGCAGCCTGTTCCAATGCCTGAGCACCCTCTGGGGCAGGAATTGTTCCTCAGCTCCATCTAAACCTGCCCTGGTGCAGCTTGAGGCCGGTTCCTCTTGTCCCATCCCTTGTTCCTTGGGAGCAGAGCCCAGCCCCTCCTGGCTCCATCCTCCTCTCAGGCAGTTGTAGGGAGCAATCAGGTCCCCCCTGAGACTTCTCTTCTCCAGACTGAACCCCTCAGGTTCCTCAGCCCTTCCCCATCACCCCTGTGCTCCAGGCCCTGCACCAGCTCCGCTGCCCTTCTCTGCCCCCCTCCAGCACCTCAATGTCTCTCTTGTAGCGAGACATGGAACACTTCTTGTCCTTGTGAGCAGCACACCTCTGAGCCATCCCCACCTCAGCACATGTATGTTCACTACAGACACTCTGGGCTCCTCAGCTCCTTCAGACCTCCAGCAAGGGGGTACAGTCCCAGCAAGGGGTGCTTGGGTGCAGGAGAAGAGTTTCAACACTTACTGTGAGTAAGTAGAAATGAGAGGTTGTCATGGATACCAATATCCAACTGACCTCAGCCTTTCTCTTAGATCCCAGTTCAGGGAAGCATCTAAACCCATGCAGACACAAACATCCCTGATGCTGCAAATAATGTGGGTGTTTAACAGACTTTTGAATTAAACCCGGAATGGGAGCAGCCTTTTTGTTTTTCCCACATTCATGTGGCACAGCAGCACCAGGAAGGCTGTGGGGGGTCAATCTTGGAAAGGACCAGGTACCCATAACCCATAATGAACCGGAAGAGGCTTTTAACCGACGCCAGGACAGAACATTCAGAGACACCTGCACTAGACCCATGCGTGTTTGCAGCCGTGCCATCAACGGGACCTCTCCTATCTCTAGGCTATCACCCCTGCTCTGCAGGGACAAAGCAGCCCATATTGAAGCTCAGCCCCTTCCCCACCAGCTCACATGCAGCCCATGCAGCCAGGGACAGGGGACAGCCACGATTCCACCTACAGTCCCCACCACAGACCTGCTGCTTACACTTGTCTCAAGTTTAGTCAGAAGGAATCTGTTGCCTCCAAGCTGGGCTCTGGAGCTGCGCTGGGCAGCAGATGCTGCTGCCTCCTCATCCCAGCCTATGCCAAGTGAGCAGTCTCCCTACGCCATGCTGGGTCTCTGGCATGTCCACAGCCTCCTCAAGGCAGTGGGTGGGCATCAGCTTTGCCTCTTTAGCATGGCTTATATGGTTTGGGCTGCAGCCCTGCTGGCATGCAGGTTCATTCAGAAGGGGTTTTGCAGCCCTGTTAGGATTCTGCAGAGGGAAGATGCTGAGAGTGACTGAGGAGGTTGAGCACATCCAGACTCCACAGCAAAGGGAGAAAGCCCCAGTGTTCCTCAGTCCCCACACAGTCCCTGTGCCTCAGGATGCTATGAACAATCTTCATCTCCAGCTGAGCAGAGCAATGGTGGACCCACAAGTGACCTGCCTGCTTCCACCATCTCTTCTCCTCTGCCTTTACTCCATGTCTCCACTCTCCACCAGGAAGGCTGTGGGGTATCAAACTTGGAAAGAACCAGGTACCCATAATCCATAATGAACCAGAAGAGGCTTTTTACCCACCCCAGGACAGAACATCCAGAGACACCTGCACTAGCCCCATGCTTGTTTGCAGTTGTGCCATCAACTGGACATCTCCTATCCCTAGGCTATCACCCCTGCTCTGCAGGGACAAAGCAGCCCCTATTGAAGCTCAGCCCCTTCTCCACCAGCTCACACTTCAGAGACCCTAGAAGCCATCAGTCCCATCACTGCCTTTTCCCTACCTTCATCTTGCTGATGCCAAAGCTGTGTTTAATCACCTCCTGCAATCCCACAGAGGAGCCTTGTGAGCTGCAGAAGTGCTATGAAGAGCAGATGAACCAGAGAGCTTTATAGCTAACCAGTGTTCCTCCCTGCACCTCCCATAATGTCCTTCCCTCAGACATCACATACACCTGGGCCCTGTTCTGCCTCTTCTCCACTTCCCTTGTCTCCCTCCTCTCCTCTCTAAGACTTTCCTGCCCAGGGACTGGCTGTTGTTGGACTGATTCGTCTGCAGGCAATGGAATGGATGAATCCCACCATTTCTTCCCTCATTTGGCCTCAGCAAATAGTTGCCAGCCCACGCTTTCTGCTAAGTTATACAGCACAAGCTTAATACCCTTGAAAGTACCATTCTGAACCCAAGACCGAGAGCTGGACCAATGCCCCTGCTCTCAACTTGCTTCTACACCAAGAAGCAGAGCAAGCCCCTTTCTTTTGCTCGCACTTCGGATCCAGAGCCCATTTCTGCTGAGCATCACCCACCGGTGCCTCCCGCACTGCGCTGCTGCCCTCTCCTGGCCTCTCCAACGGGGCTCAGCGCAGCTGCAGCCATAGGTGCTGATGCGCTCTTTGAGGCCGAGAAGGTGGGAATCCTTCCCGCAGCCCCTGTCCCTCCCAGGGCTCTGAAAGCCAAACTATTCGAGGCTGAGCTTTTTCCTACCCTGTCCTATATAGCCTCGACCTCAGCAAACGCTCTGCCTTCAGTTCTTCCTAGGAGCTGCTTCTTTATACAAAGTGGGATAAGGAATTGGAGTCATTCCCTAGTGCAAGACTGAATGGGAATGATGCTTTCCATACCTGAAGACAAACATGTGGTTCAACCTGCATGATAGGTCCCCTCCTTGTAACCCCCAAGTCCCTTTGTGTCTGGAGCATCCAAGTGTTGCAGAGAGGTGCAACTAGAAGTAAAACTTCATTAGCCGAAGGAGTGGTTGTAGTCAGAGCCATTCGGGAAGATATAGACAGGAGAAGAAGGGTATCCCTCTTATCCATTGCTGGAGATTTCAGGCAGTGTGAGGTGGTTTGGGACACAGAAATAATGGGCAACAGTAGCTGGAGGGATGCTGTTCCTCAGGGAATCTCAGGTGTTCCTTCTTTCCTCTGGTGCCAGCACAGGAGTTGTCTCATCAGTCACCGCAGCCAGGTTCAGGGACATGGCAGGGGATGGTGCTCCATCCCTCTGCTCCTTGTCGCTCCTGGTGTCACTGGCATCAAGGAGACCTTGGAGGCTCTGCTTGGGGCTCCTGAAGGAATCGCTCGTCCTTTCCATCCTCACGGTGCTTCCTTTCATCTTGGAAGCTCTTGGAGACTGCAAATGGTAATCTTGATAGAACCAGTAACAAGAGCTTCTACAAAGACACAGAAGAGAAGCCCATAGTGAAAACTATTAACTTCATGGCAGGAACCAGCACCAGAGCCCTGCAGCCACACAGCACCAGCCCTCAGGGCCAGGATTCCCCAGGGCCATACCCAACCAATCCCTAGGTGGCTGTGTGAGATGCTGCCAACATTACTACTTAGGGGGGCTACAAGGATGCTGGAGAGGGCCTCTCTAGTGTGAGGTGTCCCTGCTCATGGCAGGGGGTTGGAACTGGATGATCCTAAAGCCCTTTCCAACCCAAACCCTTCTATGATTCTATGATTATCCCAGCTGTTGAAGTCCTACACCCTCAGGTTTTCCTTCATCTCATGTTCCAAGGAGGAATATAGAGCTCCCAAAATGTCCCATGCTGGGAGATGCAGATCAGACTTACAGGATGAAGAGAACATTGAGGAATAGTAATGCTGGCAAGACAATAAGGAGCAGGGCTGGCATCTTGTGCACGATGGAGACAGCTGAGGGGAGAGAAATGGATGTGACAGTCTCAAATGAAGAAGTCCCACTGCTAAAGACCCTGGAGATAATCCAAATGCTAATTGTCCCCAGCCCCAGAGAGAAGCAGGGATGTTGGGACCTACATTACTCCTAGCAGTGAGGTTCTCAGAGGCAAGCTGGGGACACCAAGAGGGAAATCAGTGCTCAGCATTGGCCTGGTGGAAGGGGCATTGAGGGAGCTGTGATTTCTTCAGGGGTGGTGAGCTACCTCTCCCCAGGGGCTGTAGAAGTTGCCATAGCCAACATAGGGCAGCTGCTCTGGGGTCCCACTGCACTGCCTGCCCTCTACTCAGAGTCCCCCAGTCCCCCCCATGCCCTGCTTCAGTAATGGATGATCTGTGTACCCTGCTCGGTCCTTTCCTTCTTGACACAGTCCTTCATGGAGCTGGCACCTGATGCCCCGGTGGTCATGCCATGCTTGCAGGGAGTGCAGAATGCCACCCCGTGGGTCACACTGTAGGTCCCAACAGGGCATGGGAAGCACTTGTTGCTCTTTGGAGGGCCGAACATCCCTGGTGGGCATACAACTGAGGAGAGGACATGTAGAAAGGCCCTTCTAAGCAACAGCATTGTGTTCAATGAAGAGTTAGGGAAAGGGAGCCCTGATGCTTAAGGGCTCAGAATCACAGGATGTCCACCACATTCCTTGGATTGGGTGGGCATGGGGGGAGCAGCAAGGACCTGGAAACAAGCTGTGCATGAGGAGGGGAAGAGACAAAGAGCAGGAAAGAAAAGGGGGGACCAAAGGGCTGTGGACTCTTGGCTCACTGCAACAGTCAGGACATCTTTGGAGCTGCTTGGTCTGCCCATAGCCCGCTCTGCACTGCTCGATCCTTAGGAAGCCGACAAACTCGTTGGTGAAGTTGATGCTGGGGATACCAGGCCTAGTGATGAGGAAGGACTTGTGCTCCTTGAAGAACCTGCTAAGGGCGAGCTGGACCTGGGGAGGGCAGAGCAAGCGCAGCTCAGTAGGGCTCTAAGAGGGAAGCACAGAAAACATCCTCCCAGTGCATAGAGCTGTGCCGTGTGAGCCAGCAGGGGACAGGCACACAGCAGCCTGAATGGGAGCTCATGGACACTGAGCAAACCCTCAGGGATGCTCCTCATCATTCCAGGGTCTGGAAATAGTGTCCTCATTGCACACCCCCCCCCACTGCCATCCTCCTTTCCCTCCTTACCTGCCTCAGGTTGTGCAGGACTGTTATGCGGTAGCAGTCTGTGACCATCTCCATGTCCTGGGAGTTGCAGTGTTCATCCCAATTGGGTCCAAAGAGGGACACTGGAGCATGGACAGACACAAGTGCAGCTCAGGCAGCCCCAGCTCCAGCAGGAGGTGAGTGAAGCCATTAAACTCTTCCAAGAGCCCCTAATGTCATTACAGCCCTGTGCTCCCTCCCTTTTTTCCCTCCAAGCACAAACCGAGATGCTTGAATTCCTCTCATTCCATCCCAGTGCCTTTGTTATCCCCTGGGGACTCTGCTGTGACGCTTGTGCCTGGGGGTCTACCTTCCAGCTGTACTTGGACAATGAATTCATCCGAAGGGCTGTTGAGCGAGGGGAAGCAGAAAGTTGCATTGAGCTGGAGTTTGCAGTGCTGCTCCATCTCCAGCTGCCTCAGCTTATCTTGTAGATCCTGCAGGAACCTTTTGGTCCACTCATCCTCACAGAACTTGCTATGGAAGAGCAGGACAGTGTCCAGGCCTCCGGGCACATGGTAGCCTGTGGGAGAAAACCCTGAGAGGTTTCTTCCCCCTTGCCAACAGCATCCTTGTCCAGAGAGCTGAGCACGGTCCCACCTCTCCCTTCATCCACCCTTCCTGCCCTTGTTGGGTTGCCCCCCATGCTTAGCACAGTGCAGGACTCACCAAGGATGCTGTAGTGGAATGTTTGGGACACAGGGATCCTGTGCTTTGTGTAGGAGATGGTGCACGAGTACTTCCCGCTGTCGGCTGCTTGGAAGTGTTGGAAGAGGAGATGTCCCTTTTTGGTGACTGAGAGCAACCTGGGGACTAGTGCAGGAGACAGAGGGGTTGATGGCGATCACCAGCAGTTGGCTGTCCTGTGCTGAGTTGGCCCTGTTCCTGGTGGCTCTGTCATGCTCCCCCGGGCTGACCCAGATTTGGTCTCCATAAACTGAGACTCTTCAAAGACTCCCAAAAGCTGCTCTTCCCCCCCCCCCCCCCCGTTATTAAATTATTATTCCCCTCCTGTTGTTATAAATTATCAAGGGAGAGGGAAGAAAAAATTAAGCATGGAATTACCCCATAACCTTCCTGTAGTTCAGCCCATGCAATCCCATGAGACCCCGGTCTCCATGTGCCCCTCACAGGCTCCTTCCTTGAGCGGTTGTTTCCCCTCTTACCCCCCTCTTGCCTCACAGCAGCAGAACCCATCACTGCTGCTTGCTCCTGACTTGGAACTTACCTGGCCGGTCCTGCCCCCAGTGGTAGGTGGGATCAGCCACCTCCATTTCAATAGGGCTGCAGGGCAGTGAGTACAGGCTGCTCTCCATGTGGATGAAGACAAAGCCTAGGCCAGAGAAAGGGAGATAAAAGCTGGGGACACATCTGAGGCATCTCAGGGCATTGCAAGGAGGAGGGTTGGGAAGCCACTGGAACAGGCTGGGGACCTGTGTGGTGTGCGGACGGACCCAGCCCCACTGGGGACCATCCTACAGGGATGAGGTTGGTTATGTGCTTTGGGAAGAGAAAATGCCAGGAGCTGTGGTGAGGAGAGCTGGCGGGGACCACTGAGGCACACTGGGGCATCTCTTGTGTTGGCTGTGACTGGAAAGCCCCATCCTCTGCTCAGGTCGACAGAGCTGGCAGAGAGGACATGGTCCTGCCATCAACCAGGCTGGATGGGGACACTGCGTCACCCAGGAAAGAGGAGTGCATGGATAAGGAAAGCTTTGTGGATCTCACCCCCTTGGTGTTCCCAGCTGGAGGTGAGTGGCAGGGCCCGAGGCAGGGACACTGTCCGTCCTAGGAGGAAAGCAGAGGGGCAGCTCTCAGGCTCAGCTTGGACAGCACTCACCTCATGCTGGTCTCCTCTCCAAGGCTCTTGTCAGCCGTCCAAGGAGTCAGAGCACAACACATCCACCTCCACAGTGATCTTTTACCTGAGGAGCTACAAAGCACCAAAGTCAGGATGCCCACAACCAAGACCTGGGGTCCCCCAGCGTCTGGAGCACAGAGCATCCTGCCCTGCTGTGCAGTGTGGAGCATCTTGTTACCATGGCGATGAGGAATCTGCTGCTTCTCCCTGTCCCCGTAGTGACGGCTCAGAGGCTGGGCAGGGGCACATCCTGCCCACCTTGGTCGTGCTCAGCAGGTCTGGGCTGTGTAGAAAACATGGCCCTTCTTCTGGGGACCATCTGGGCACAATGAATTAGAATATGGTTGGGGACAGCCTAATTGAAGAGATACGGTAAGAGAGATGATAAGGAGGGATGAGGAGACACTTGTCCCAGGGCTTCTGCGTTTCATTAATTAAACCTTCATTAATGAAGGTTTCCTTTCAGCTTATGGTGTGGGGCTGTGTGTTCCCTCCTATCTGGTGCAGTGACTGAGTAAGTGCTGCAGCAGCAGGAGGAGGGAGACCCATCTTACATAGCAAAGAGTTTGGATTTCTGCTTGAACTGCAGAATTCAGGCTCACGTATGAAGCTGAACTTGGGTTATCCATAGTAAAGTGCCAGGAATACAGATTTACTTCCTTACCGTCTTAACAGCACTTGTTATTCATTTGCATAAGTTGGAGAGAGCACAGGCACTGCATCAGTAAGTGCATAGCAAGATCATTCCCTGTGTTGTTCCGACTAGGAATTAACCCTTCTCCCTCCAAGAGAGTGATGCGAGTTACACTCACATGCAAACTCCATTTATAGATAGGCATTGATAAGGAGTGTCTCTAGTTTCTGCATCCCTACATGGCTAGAAAAGAGGGATATGGAATTTGTGGGCATTTTGCATTAAGGAGGTTTAAGTTTTCCTTGGCTTGTATGAACCACAGGAATGCCCAGGGATGAAGGAGCATCCTATTGTGCTGTACACACACAGACCCGCTTTCTATCTCTGGCACTGTCCCTCCCTGTTCCAAGCTGCAGATCTCATGGATATTCCACTTGTCCAACAAAACAGCCACCAGCTTCAGCACTGAATGAGAAGGTGTCCTGGTTCCCTGGGGTATCCCTAAGGGTATCCAAGGAACTCCAGCTACAAGAAGATCAAATGCAAGAGGACCATGGCTGGCTCCCAGCCATGAGATCCTGATCCCTCTGTGCTGCTTAGCACAAAGGGAATGTGCCCCTTTCTGCAGTGCTTGAGGGCCCATGGGAGCCAGAGCTACATCTCTTGAGCTCATGATGCCTCCTGTAGAGATCCTTCGGGCTTTCACTGTCCCAGAGCAGCGGATTCTAGAGCTGGATCCAAGGAACACCACCTGGAATGTCACCATCACTGCTAGGTCTCTTCATTTCAGACAGGGACTGATGCTTCGGTGTCTATATTCCGCTCTAGGAGCAATTGCAGGCAGTCACCAAGTTGTGTTGGCAGCACAGGGAAAACCCCAGCCTTGGGACAGGCAGTGACATGCGGCTTCCCAAGGGAAAGCAGCACAGCTCTCTACACAACCAATGCAGAGAAGGGGAATCCGCCCTTCAGATCCTATCTGGAGCCTGCTGAACCTGACTCATTAGGAGGGAATTACTCCCTGATCGCTCTTCCTTTGATAAATACGGTAGTGGTGATAAATATTCAACATGGGCACCAAAGCAACAAGGCTGGCATTTATCTCTTGCCTTGTTTTCCTCTTTGAAGGGCCAAGGGTTGTTAATAAAGGCAGGAGCTGCACTGATAGCAGTGGTTTAATCACTCAGGATTAATCGTGGTGATGCAGGAAGTCAGAATCCAGCTCTCCCATGAGCTGTTTCCTATCTGTGGGCAATGCGGAGGGAGGAGCAGCACAAGGGTCGGATTACGGGCAGGGGACTATATGGGAAGCACAAGGGACAGTGTGTAAAAGCAGGCAGGAGCACGGAGGGAAGCACTGCTCCTCTGTGTATGGAGCTTTGGGAAGTGGGTCTGAGGAGTTTAGGGGAGCAAGGGGCTGAGGGGGGCAGCAGGCTCAGCCTAAAGGCACCTGGAAAGGCTCAGTGTCTTCTGATGCGAAGGCTGATGATGCCTCTATGGCAGATGACATAGGGACATAAAGGAGAAACAGAGGAGGGAAACAGAGGTGGCCTCTGCTAGAGGCCGGTGAAATAGCAGGAGGAGGACAGCAGAGGGTAGCAAATGCCTGAGTTCTTGTCCTGGCCTCGCAGGGCTGGTGTGAGGCACAGGCTGGATGCTGCAGCCTGGTACAGCCCCACAGCGCACATCTGGGCAGATCTGGTGTAAAAATAAACCAGGGAACAAGGCGCTTTGATAAGAGGGAGATGTTCTCAGCGCAAAGGCTTGTCTTGAAATACATTTCCTTTAGAAGCTTCCTGCTGAGATATCCCCAGTGACCCCTTCAGTGCCAGGGAGAAGGCAGCGCGATGCTTAGATTAGAATCAATGCAGGGTTTAACCAAGTGGAAAGAAACCTCTCTCTCTAGGGATTTCATTTCCCAGGAATGGCAGCATTGCATTTCGGTTGCTATTTGAGCAGATACTTCCTCACTTTTAAGCTCTGCTGTAGCACTGCGCCTGTGGATCTCAAGGATGGAGATCCCCTGTTCCCTTCTGTAGGTACCGTCCAAAGGCCACGTCTGGTCTCAGTGGTTCAGAAGGGAAGCAGGTTTCCTTCATGATGCAGACACAGCCAGCCAAGTAGAACTCAGAAGTGCAGCAGCACTTTGCACTCACAGCTGAGGCCCTAAAGCCACCCTCTGTGCTTAAATCCCAGTTGGACCTGCTGGGATTTCACCTCTGGCATGTCAAGGTCTCCTGCTGCCCTTTGTGCACTTCAGCTTCCCCATTTAATGCAGGGGGATGATTGTAAATGCTCTAAGTGTCATTAGCACCCCAGGGTAATTACTGGACAATGTGTCTCACCCCTTCCCTGGGGTTGCAGGTGATCCAGGTCAGACTCAGTGCTTTGCTTTGCCCTTCAAGGGGCAGAGAGATGGCCCCAGCTACTGGCTCATGTCATCACATCAAATAGGATCATCCAACTTCATGATGTATCTTTAACACAGTAGGTGGGTTACAGATGGTAGTGGAGCATTTGGGAGCACACCTCTTGCATGTTCCTTGCATGACTACAGGTCTCTGCTTAGGTTTTGGCGTGTCAGGCACAAGGAGCAGGAGAGAAGTCACAAACTGGAGAACATGTTGGGGCTTATCGGGTCTATATTCCCCATTTGGACTAATTTCTTCCCATCCTGCTCCCCTTGCACAGGCCACACACTCCTCCAGCCATAGGATGCATGAAAAAGTGCCCTGGAAAAGGGCTTTCTGCCCCACTGGAAAAGAGGCAGCTTGGAACATCACCTGATGCAGGAAAAGAGCATTGTCCAGAGTTGATTTATCTGTCTCTTTACTGATTTACACACCACTTTTCACACCCATCTGTTGTGAACAACAGGACCAAGTATTAACAGTGAGAGTGAGGCAGTGATAGGATTGGGAACAGGTACTCAGGAGTATTTTCTGTGCACTTTTTGCTCTGACTTCAATCCATATTGCAGAGCTTTCAGTTCTGTTTTAAAGAAGGATACATCTCTTTTTCCTCTTGAACAAAGGCAGAGATTTTCCCCTTTGTTTTGTGGTTCTGAGTCATTCCCCATAATAGCAAATTGCTGGCAAAGTTGCAGTTATGGCTAAATGGTCACTTCAAATTTAAGTCTTTTTTTCCCAGCAGCTTTATACCTTTTTAAAGCAAACAATTGCTCTTCTGGGATGAAAACGTCTCCTTACTCCGTCTCATTCTGGTATCCAAATATTCTGGAACACTGGGAGAAGAATTGCTCTGAATCTCTGCCATAGCTGATAGCACCTTCTCCTTTCTGGCTGTTTTCCTCTATTCTGATGGCTGTCATAGTTCCTCAATTTGAGTTGTAATTAGGGGTAATTTAGCATCTCTCTGAAAGCGAGAGCAAACAGAAATGCAGTGGTTGGCAAACAGGGTGGGCTGCTGGATCTGTGGACTGGGTTATTTGCTCTATCCCTGCTCCGCTTCAGATGAGTGCCATCAGGAATGTGACGCAGCACTGAGACACAGGAGAGCATCTTTTAAGGTGCAGGAACCGTGGGGCAGCCCAAGGACATCCAGCTGGAGGTGGGCAGGGGTCACACATGGACTTCCATAGCCCAGAGATGAGCAGCCTCTGCTTCCCTAGGAGGGAGCTGCGGGGTAGGTCTGGGAGCAGTCTGACCTCTGCCCATCTCAGCAGCGTTGCAGTGAAGTTTCCTTCCTTCTGTTGCTGGCAGCAAAAGCAAAGGCACCTTCTCCTCTGCTGCCTGCTGCAGACACATCGGTCAAGAGCTGAGGCTCCTCTTTCCCTCCCTTTGGATGGTGAAGCTTTTCCTCTACAAAGATCTCTTCACATCTGGCCGTGCTCAGCCTTTGCCAGCATTCACGCCTGCGCCAGGACACATACAGCCCTTGAGCTGTTCAGGGAAAGCCTTTAGGTATATATTCTGGCTCCTGACAGGCATCTTGCCAAGCTCCTCTGGGAACTGCTGCCTTTCCTTCTCCTTTCCTGCTTCTTTCCATCCATCCTGCTGATAACATGGTGCAGAGGCCCACGGTGCCGGACTTCTGTTGTCCTCAAGCACTTGGTGATGGAGCTGGCTGGAGTCAGTGACAGTGTTGTGATAACTGTGCCCCAGGGACATGACAAGGGGCAGCCTGTGTGCAGAGGCTGTGCATCCAATATCCTTTCTTTCAGGGGTCAAACATGCGTGGGGAAACAAATCCTGGTTGCCTGGCAGGGCCATCCCATAGCCTGTTGGTGCAGGAATGTGTAGCTGTGGTTGATGGAAGGCATCGTGGGACCGCTGGGGACATGGAGCTAATCATTTCCTCCCTGACACTTGCAGTTATATGAGGAAATATAGTGGAATGCAGAGGTGGGGAGGCAGGAGAGATCTGTCTGAGCTCGTGCAGGATTGCTCCCTGGAGGGAACTCACTCAGGTCTTGGGTGTAATTCCGAGCATCCCAAATGATGGAGTTTCTCACTCTTCCGCATTCAGGAGGTTAATTTCACAGGCTAGTATGTTTCCTCACTGCTCAGCCTGCAT